AAGAAAGAAAGAAAGAAAGAAAGAAAGAAAGAAAGAAAGAAAGAAAGGAAGGAAGGAAGGAAGGAAGGAAGGAAGGAAGGAAGGAAGGAAGGAAGAAAGGAAGGAAGAAAGAAAGAAAGAGAGAAAGAACAAACGAACACCATGAGGGGTGCCTGGGTGGCTCAGTCAGTTAAGCACTGACCCTTGATTTTCAGCTCATGTCACGGTTGTGAGATCAAGCCCCTCATCGGGCTCTTTGCTGGGCATGGAGCCTGCTTAAGATTCTCTCTCTCCCTCTCCCTCTGCCCCCTGCAACTCTCTCCCTCTCTTGAAGGAAGGAAGGAGGGAGGGAGGGAGGGAAGGAAGGAAGGAAGAAGGGGAGGAAGGAAGGAAGGACGAACACCATGAATTCAAGGATATTAATGGAAATACAGTTTGTAATAGCAAAAGTTTGGAAATAACATCAATGTCCATCAACCTAAGACTGGCTAAATAAATCATGACAAATTCTTACAATGGAATGATAATCAATGGTTAAAAAAAAAAGAATGAGGAGAGACATTGCAAAGAGAATGAGAAACAAGCTATAGACTCGGATAAAGTATTTGCAAATCACATATCTGATAAAGGATTTGTATCCAGAATACATAAAGAACCCTAAAGACTCAACAATAAGAAAACAATAAACCCAAGGGAAAAATGGGCAAAAGAATTGAATAGACACTTCACCAAAGAAGTTACAGGGATATGTGGGTGTCAAATAAACATGTGAAAAGATATCATTAGGGAAACGCAAATAAAACACACATACATACAATCACAAAGAGATATCATTACACACCTATTAGAATAGCTAAAAAATAATAAAAATAAACCAACAACACCAAATAGAAGAATGAAGAGCAACAGGAATGCTTATTCATTGCGGATGGGAGTGCAAAACAGTACACCACTTGGGAAGGTACTTGGCAAGTTCTTATAAAGTTAAACATGCACTTGCCATACAACCCAGCAACTTATGTTCACGTGAAGCCCTTACACTAATGTTTATAGTAGCTTTCTTCATAACAGCCAAACCTGGGAACAACCAAGATGTCTTTCAACAGGTGAACAGGTAAACAAACAGTGTCCATCCATGCAATAGGACCCTACTCAGCAACAAGCATAGATATGTTCATGAAACAACATAGATGAATCTTAATTGCATCATTATGGGTGAAAAAAACGAAACCCAAAAGGCTACAAATTGTTTGCTTCCATTTTTATGACATTCTGAAAAAGGCAAGATTATAGGGACAGAAAACAAATCAGTGGTTGTCAGGGGTTGGGGTGGGGGAGGTACCTGACTAAAATCCTACATCTTGTGTTTAGGTATTTAGGTGATTGAACTGTTCTTTATGTTACCGATGTGGTGGATATGTGACTGCATTTTCCCAAGCCCTTACAGAGTAAACTTTACTGTGTGCAAATGTCTAAAAATCAGTAAAGATGTCCAAGGTTCCCAAGATGGAGTTAAAGACCGTGAAAAATGAATCTCACTGGCGGGATGGGAAAAAAAGAGCTGACCCTAATTAACTTTGGAAAAGTGCTTTGACTGGAAACTGTAAAGCTAAAGGCAAAATAACTGCACATAAACACTGTCCTCTAGTTGGTAAGTGTGTTTCTCACAGGGATGAGAAATATAAAGCACTGTGAACTGAATGAAAATGAAATTACAACATACCAAAAACTTGGGGATGCAGTTAAGGCAATCTTTATTTTTATTTTTTTAAATAAAATTCAAATAAATTTTATTTATTTGACAGAGAGAGATACAGCAAGAGAGGGAACACAAGCAGGGGTAGTGGAAGAGGGAGAAGCAGGCCTCCCGCCGAGCAGGGGGCCCGACATGGGGCTTGATCCCAGGACCCTAGGATCATGACCTGAGCTGAAGGCAGACGACTGAGACACCCAGGCGCCCCAAGGCAATCTGTAGAGGGAAATTTGTAGTATTAAAATGTTTGCATTGGAAAAGCAAAAAAAAAAAAAGTCTCAAATCAGTAGTAATCTAAGTCTCTTCCTTAAACTAGAAAAAGAAATTAAATCCCAAGCAAGCGGAATTACAGAAACAATAAAGATATGAGCAGATACCAATAAAATAGAAAGCAGTAATAATAGAGAAAATCCATGAAAACAGAAGCTCATTCTTCTGAAGAAAAAAAAATCAACCTCTATCCAGACTCATCAAGAAAAAAGAGCCAGAAAATTTGTGGCAGGTACAGAATACATGTGTTTGTTAATGAACAGACCACCTCTAGATTCCAGGGGTCTGAAATGAAGCATAAAAATGTGATAACAGTATTTGCCTTTGAAAGAGAAGGATTGAGTAGCTGGGAATAAGGTAGGGAAAAGACTTTTTTGCTGAAATACCTTTCAGTTTTCTTTTGAATGTGCATATATAATCACCTATTCAAAAATGGGGGCACCTTCCTGGCTGGCTTAGTCGGTAGGGCATGCCACTCTTGATCTCAGAGCTGTAAGTTTGAGTCCCACATTGGGCCTAGAGATTACTTAAAAATACAAAATCTTTTTTTTAAAAACTAACAAAAATAAAGTGCTTTATATTTCAAAGAAAACACCTTCACTTGAGGGATGGTAGTTTTATTTGTTTTATTAAGTTTTTAATTTATTTAAATAATCTCTGCATCCAATGTGGAGCTCAAACTCACAACCCCAAGATCAAGAGTCACATGCTGGGTGCCTGGGTGGCTCAGTTGGTTAGGCGACTGCTTCAGCTCAGGTCATAATCCCAGGGTCCTGGGATTGAGCCCACATTGGGCTTCCTGCTCAGCAGGGGAGTCTGCTTCTTCCCCTCCCCATGCTCATGCTCTCTCTCTCACTCACTCTCTCTCTTTCAAATAAGTAAATAAAATCTTAAAAAAAAAAAAAAAGAGTCATATGATCTTCCAACTGAGCCAGCCAGGTGCCCTGAGGGCTGCTGGTTTTTAAAAGCATATTCATTCATTCATTTAATATGTGGTGTTTATTATTTCCACAAATTTTTATACTTATATTACAAATGAAGTCTTCCTAAAGCAATATTGCTTTGTGCACTTAAAATTTTTATTTTACTTTTTTAAGGTTTTATTTATTCATTTGAGAGAGAGAGAGAGAGAGCATGAGCAGAGGGGAGAGGCAGAGGGAGAGGGAGCAGACGCCCCACCGAGCAGGGAGCCTGATGCAGGACTGCATCCCAGGACCTGGAGATGATGACCCGAGCCAAAGGCAGACACTTAACCATCTGAGCCACCCAGGTGCCCCTTAAAATTTTACATAAATGGTTATCATACTATTTGAATTCTTCTGTGCCTTACTTTTTGCCCCTCAACGTTACATTTTTGGGTAGTTCATCTATATTTACATATGCAGCTTTAGTTTGTTCATTTTCACTTCTGTATACCATCTCATGGGTGCATCCCCTTGTACGTAACCCAGTCTTCTGTTGACGGACATTTAGGTTAGTGGTACGTCTTGCTGTGGCAGGCACTCTCACCATCAGCATTCTTGCGTATCTCCTCATGCACTTTGTAGATTTTACATTTCCTATATTCGTAATTGACTGTTTCCCAAAATACCCAGTGATGTACCCTTTTCTAAGAGCTGTCTTACCTATTGATTTTTTTAATATATCTATGAACTATAGATATAATTTACGATAACTTTAATGCTCACAGACCTCAGGAAAATGGGGAGTAACAGTCATTCGATTTACTTATTCAATAGATACTTAGATATCTACTAAGCATTAATTATGTGCCACGCACTGAGAATACTGAGATGAACAAAACAGACAGGCTCCTGCCTTCATGGAGGTTACATAAAGAACACATCTCTGCCTGGTCTTTTTCTCTTACCGATTGTCCTAAAAAATCTTGATAGGATTTTGTACAGGGATGCTATGGGCTCCAGGGTGAAATGAGAAGTAGTGATTATGAGTTAGTTCTAGGTCAGCAAGGTAGCTCCTATTGGCTCCGCTGACCTGGTTATCTCTCAAATTTAATACCAGGTAAGTCAGTTGGAAAAACAAAATCCTCATGATGTAAGTTTAAATTGATCCTATAGGAGAATCCATTGCTTATCTCAAGGTTATTTGGAAATAGGAGGGTATGTTTTCATATCATACTGGAGGCAGAAGGCTACAGGGAGTCATTTTCCCTGGAATTAGAAAGCTTAATGGTCATACAAAATAGCTTTTGGCTTCATGCAAATTATTTCTCAATAAGAGCAAAAGTGCTCTTGTTATATTCAAGTATTATCTGCTCTCTAGATAATGTCTTATTATGTAGTTTTAAAAATTAAGTTTCTTGGGGCACCTGGGTGGTACAGTCAGTCAAGCGCCCGACTCTTGGTTTTGGCTCAAGTCATGATCTCAGGGTCATGGGATTGAGCCCCATGGCGGGGCTCCATGCTCAGTGGGGAGTCTGCTTGAGATTCTCTGTCCCCTCTTCCTCTGCCCCTCCCCCTCCGCTCTCTCTCTCTAAAGTAAATAAATAAACCTTTTTAAAAAATTAAGTTTCTTAAAGTAATATGCACCCACAGTTTAAAAGAGACAAATAGTTTTAAGAAGCTTATCATGAAAAACAACACCCCCATCCACTCACTTTCAACTATTTTCTTCAGGGATCTTCCTTTGTAGTTCTTTTTTTTTAAGATTTTATTTATCCATTTGAGAGAGAGAGAGAGAGGGAGAGCACAGAGGGAGAGTGAGAAGGAGAAACAGACTCCCCACTGAGCAGAGAGCCCGATGTGGGGCTTGATCCTGGGACTCTGAGACCATGATACGAGCTGAAAGGCAGATGCTTAACTGACTGAGCCACCCAGGCGCCCCTATATTTCTTTTTTTTTAATAGTTTATTTATTATTTTTTAGTAATCTCTACACCCAACATGGGGCTTATACTCACAACCCCAAGATCAAGAGTCGTATGTTCTTCTGACTAAGCCAGCCAGGCGCTCCTCTTCCTTCATATTCTAAAGGACATGCCTTTACTGATATTTCTTGATTCTCCCATTTAGATCTGTTGACTGCCTACCATGGAAGATGAGAATTAGTTCTCTTAGTCCTGTTCCCACCCACTCCAACACAATAATTTCCCCTTCTCAGTTGTTCCAATATCTATCATAATTATTGATGCAATCAATATTTAATATTTACATTATTAAGCCTATATAAGTAGTACTCACCACTACGCCATGTAAAGTATTATGATTACATTTCATTTCTTCTGTAACTACCCCCCCCCAAAGTTATAAGTTGCCTTGGTATTTCATTTTCTTTTGTCACAGGATATAGATAGGAAACTATTCCAGTCTCACTTTCAGCTGATGCTTCCCCATTTCAAAGTACGTCTGCCTAGGCGGGACTTGTAAAAGAGGTGACTAAAAACTGGTTTTAGCAGCTTTATTCATAATTGCCAAAACCTGGAAGCAACCAAGATATCCTTCAGTAGGTGAATGGATATATAAACTGTACTACATCCAGGCAATGAACTATGATTCAGCACTAAAAAGAAATGAGCTATCAAGCCATGAAAACACATGGAGGAAACTAAAATGCACATTACTAAGTGAAAAAAGCCAATCTGAAGAGGCTACATACTGTGTGATTCCAGCTGTATGACATTCTAGAAAAAGCAAAACTATGGAGACAATTAAAGATCAGTGGCCCCCAGGGGTTTAGGTGGAGGGATGAATAAGCAGAGCAGAGAGGACTCTTAGGGCAATGAGACTCTACTCTACATGATACTATAATGGTGGATATATGTCATTATACCTTTGTCCGAACTCATAGAATGTACAACACCCAAAGTGAGCCCTAATGTAAACTACGGACTTTGGGTGATAATGATGTGTCCACGTAGGTTCATGGGCTGTGACAAATGTACCCACTGGTGGAGGACGCTGATAGTGGAGTAGGCAGTGCATGTGTGGGGGTAGGGGGTATATGAGAATTCTCTGTACTTCTACTCTATTCTAATTTTGCTGTGAACCTAAAACTGCCCGAAAAATAAAGTCTATTAAATTAAAAAAATAAAAACTGGTTTTGTTACTTTTGGTCCCTACCCATTCAAGAGCATGAAAGGACTGTTGAAATTTCCCAAGATCAAAGAAAATGTTTGGAGAGCATTAATGAGCTGTGAGTACACTTCCGCCAGTTTGTGGGAATGAGAAAAGGAAGGCACTTCAGTAAGACCTCCTGATGAACTTGATGTGTCTCCTGAAGCTCAGGTGACATGCTAGGTGGTGCCTGAGTCATTCCTGAGAAGTATATGAAAGGGACCGTGGCTGGCTAGCTCCTCTGATGGGGCAGAAAGAAGCAGAGGTGCTGTATCAGGGTGCTGGACAGTATCCTGAGGACTAGATTGAGCCATGCTGGGGAAACACTAGCTTGGATCTGGTCTAAAAGGTTTTTCCCGAGGAGTGAGGTGCCCCCAGTCAAAAGAGTCTGCATGTCTGGGGGTTGAGGCCAGAATTATAAGTGGTCATAAAATCAAGGGGTCTTCTGCATCCAAATGGCCAACAGACACAAGAAAAAGTACTCAACATCACTCGGCATCAGGGAAATACAAATCAAAACCTCAATGAGGGGCGCCTGGGTGGCTCAGTTGGTTGAGTGACTGCCTTCGGCTCAGGTCATGATCCTGGAGTCCCGGGATCGAGTCCCACATCGGGCTCCCTGCTCAGCAGGGAGTCTGCTGCTCCCTCTGACTCTCTTCCCTCTCATGCTCTCTCTCATTCTCTCTCTCTCAAATAAATAAATAAAAATCTTAAAAAAAAAACAAAAAAAACCTCAATGAGATACCACCTCACACCAGTCAGAATGGCTAAAATTAACAAGTCGGGAAACGACAGATGTTAGCGAGGATGCGGAGAAAGGGGAACCCTCCTACACTGTTGGTGGGAATGCAAGCTGATGCAGCCACTCTGGAAAACAGTCTGGAGGTTCCTCAAAAAGTTGAAAATAGAGCTACCCTATGACCCAGCAATTGCATTACTGGGTATTTACCCTAAAGATACAAATGTAGTGATCCGAAGGGGCACGTGCATCCCAATGTTTACAGCAGCAATATCCACAATAGCCAAACAATGGAAAGAGCCTAGATGTCCACCAACAGATGAATGGATAAAGAAGATGTGGTATATATATACAATAGAATATTATGCAGCCATCAAAAAATTGAAATCTTGCCATTTGCAATGACATGGATGGAACTAGAGGGTATTATGCTAAGTGAAATAAGTCAATCAGAGAAGGACAATTATCATATGATCTCATTGATACGAGGAATTTGAGAAACAAGACAGAGGATCACAGGGGAAGGGAGGGAAAAATGAAACAATATGAAACCAGAGAGGGAGATAAACCATAAGAGACTCTTAATCTCAGGAAACAAACTGAGGGTTGCTGGAGTGGAGGGGGGTGGGAGGGATGGAGTGGCTGGGTGATGGACACTAGGGAGGGTATGTGCTATGGTGAGCACTGTGAATTGTGTAAGACTGATGAATCACGGACCTGTACCCCTGAAACAAATAATACATAAAAAAAAATAAAAGTAAAAAAAAAAAATTCAAGGGGTTCTGGTTGAGCAAGTCCCCACCCCTAAAGCAGATCAGAGCTCAGGGATCTGGGATGGAGGAGTGTCCTGGAAAAATCACACAAGTCAAAAGCACCCTGAAAGAGGAAGAGTCCACTGTGAACCTCTACCATGGTCAGAGAGTGCCATACTGCATCTTCTCTCTGTCTACACAGGCCTCTTCTATCCAGGAGGAACCAGAGACAGTCTCCTGGTGGAGAAGGATGCTGGAAGGCCTTGCGGGGAAGTAAAGAAGCCCACTGGGCCTCCCTTTCTTACCTCAGGCGGCCAGTCTAAAGTAGGTCTACGTGGCAGAGGGAGAGATTATTTTATTTTAAATAAATTTGGGAGTTTTGACTCTTATTAGAGTGAATCAAATGAAATTGCCAATATTCAACCATTTTTGACTCACACAAATGGCAACTTCATATGGTTCAGCTTAATGCATGAGCGTGGACTTTTGAATTACTGAACCAAGGTTGTTTGGAGGTTTTAAGTGACCAAGAGAATTTTACTACCTGAGAGTGACATAAAAAGCCATGAGACTTGCCCTACACTTCACTCAAGGGTATGGGGGAAGAACAATTTGAATATGCAAAGAATAAACTTTGCATCCGAGAATAAACTTCTTTTCTTCCTACACCCCAGAGTTCCCATCTGTTCAACAAATTGGCTACACTTAGTTTTCTGTGTATTTATCACCAATCCATCCACAAAATCTCTGACAGAAACTGAAATTTCCTCTCTAGAGATTCAAACATATCAGGTAATCTATCACCTTATTTTCAAAATTTTTTTTTTTTTTTTGGACACATTCCCCCACCTTGCAGTTCTCTGTTCTTCTGCTTTGTTTGGGACTGATTCCTCTCCAGGCCTGCTGGGCAGCTGTGGCAGCGGCACTTTCTCTTGCCTCTTTCCTGGGTTGGATCTCCTGTTTCTTGGATGCCGTGAGTTTCTTTTTCATGGTTTTCTCCTTCATGTTCCACTCACTTTCTGAGAAAGTGGCCTAGAAGAGAAATTTTCGAGACCTTGCATATCTGGAAATGTCTTTATTCTATCTTCATGCTTCACGGGTAATTTGGCTGGGTACAGAATTCTAGGTTAGAAATCATTGTCTTTTAGAACACAGAGTTTTTCTTTCTCATACCAGGGGAAAAATCTGTTTCTTAGTACTTTACACTTAGATGGGAAACCAACTTTTTTTCCTTTAATTTTTATTGTTATGTTAATCACCATACATTACATCATTAGGTTTTGATGTAGTGTTCCATGATTCATTGTTTGTGCATAACACCCAGTGCTCCATGCAGAACGTGCCCTCTTTAATACCCATCACCAGGCTAACCCATCCCCCCACCCCCTCCCCTCTAGAACCCTCAGTTTGTTTTTCAGAGTCCATCGTCTCTCATGGTTCGTCTCCCCCTCCGATTTACTCCCCTTCATTCTTCCCCTCCTGCTATCTTCTTTTTTTTCTTAACATATATTGCATTATGGGAAACCAACTTTTTTATTACTCCCTCACTTCCTCTGTCTGTCTCTCCTCCTCTTCCTTTTTTTTAAATTTATTTATTTAACTAATTGTGGAGCTCGAACTCATGACCCCAAAATCAGGAGTCAAATGCTCTTTCAACTGAGCCAGACAGGTGCTCCCACCTTCTTCTTCATCTTTTCTTTCTTCTTGATGGTGATGGAGAAAAATTCTTTATCACTGGGTTTTCAAACTCCACAACTGTCAAAAAGCACGAAACTGTTTTCCTAACACAGGCTTGTCTTTCCATAGCAGAAAAGAAATTTGGCACTTACACTTTGTGTTGTGTTTGAAATACTCTATATAGTGAGAACACACGTAATCAGTTAAAAAATTTGCTGTATCTTGATAAATGATTTTTCTATCATTCTTAATACTAAAACTCTTCTCTTCCGCTTAATTTTTTCTTTTTATTAAAATTGAGATGAAATTCACATAAAATTAACCACTTTACACTGAACACTTCAGTGGCATTTAGTACTTTCACAGTGTTGAGCTACCACCACCTCTATATAGTAGTTCCAAAACATTTTCATCATTCCAAAAGGAAACTTTGTATTCATTAAGTAGTGGCTCCCCATTCCCCCCTCTCTCCCCAAATTCTGGCTGTCATCAGTCTGCTTTCTGTGTCTATGGATTTACCTATTCTGGATATTTCGTATAAATGGAATCATACAATATGTGACCTTTGATGTTTGACTTCATCCACTTAACATAATTTTTTCAAGGTTCACCCATATTGTAACATGTATTAGTACTTCATTCCTTTTTATAGCCAAATAATATTCCATTGTATGGCTATATCACAATTTGTTTATCCACTTATCTATTTATGGATGTTTGGGTTGTTTTCACCTTTGGTTATTGTGAACAATGCTGCTATGAACATTCATGTACAAGAATTTGTTTTTAGATTCTCTCAAAAAACTATTTTCAGTTCTTTTGGGTATATATTTAGGGGTTGAATTGCTGAGTCACATGGTTACTCTATGTTTACCTCTTTTAGGAACTGCCAAGCTATCTTCCACAGCTGAACCATTTTACATTCCCACGGTGATGTACAAGTATTCTCAGATCTCCACATCTTTGCCAATGATTGTTATTTTCCTTTTTTAAACTTACAGCTATCCTAGTGAGTGTAAAGTGGTATCTCATGATTTTGATTTGCATTTCCCTAATAACTAATGATATCAAGCATCTTTTCATGTACTTTTTGGTCATTTGTATATCTTCTTTGGAGAAATGTCTATTCAAGTCCTTTCCTCACTTTAAAATTGGGTTGTTTTTTAGTTTTGAATTCTAAGAGTTCTTTGTATATTCTGGGTACTCCCCTTAACTTTTGAGGCTACCTGAATTTTCACTGTTGTAAAAATCTGGTAATATGAGTGCTACACAATGTGGGAGAGACCATTTATTGTCTAATGATATCCACTTTCCAATTTTTTTATTGCAATAGAACCCCAACTTTATTTTTAGGCTAATTATGTGCCCACAAAAAAGACTTTTTCTAGTCCCCCCTGTTTCTAGGCATGACCACATTGTTGAAGATGTCTATTAGACATCTAAGTGGAGATATTGGCCAGACATCTGGAAATTCAAGAACAGAGTTCAGGAGGGAGGTCATTCAGTCATGACCCTGTTGTTTCCTCCCCACTGCCTTTATCCACCACATATGAGCACCTGGCTCATGTGTTCTCCTCCACCTCATCATCCTGGTGACCTCAACATTCATACAAACAGCTAATCCAGGATCCTGGTCATTCAGTTGTAGGACCTTCTCATCTCTAGTGACCTTCTCCTCCATCCTACTGCAGTCATCCCTTCTTATGACCATATACTAGGTCTTGACATTAAAAATAAACCTATCCAAAACATCATTTCACATTCTGGCCACAACCCTTCCAACCTCCATATTTCATGACTCACTGAGACTATTCTAGCTAATCAGACCTCCAATCTATTTAACCATCTAGTTTCTCCCCTTCCACCAGCTTTCTCCATCTTTCATGCCTTTCTATATTCAGCAAAACGTTATGGTCTATCATTTCAAGAACACTCTTTCCAATACCATAAACGCTGATGACTATTTGTATTTTGATTGTACTTGTCAATCAAAATTTCAGCTATCTGCTTTGTCAGTGTCTATATTGAAAAACTCACTCATCTTCCCAAAACAAAAACAATAACCCACCTACATCTGAACCAATCTTCTTCCTGTTTGCACAGGAGTGGTTGGTGTCTATCCTGTTGAAACCAACCCTTATCTCCTCTCCTTCATATAAAACTTACACTACCAATGATTCATTTTCTCTTCTGGATATCTAGGCATTAGCTCTCAACTAGATTCTCCCAATCTTTATTTAAAAATTCTTAAGTCAGGGAACCTGAGTGGCTCAGTCGGTTAAGCATCTGCCTTTGGCTCGGGTCATGATCCCAGGGTCCTGGGATCGAGTCCAGCATCAGGATCCCTGCATCGGGATCCCAGGGAGTCTGCTTCTCCCTCTGCCACTCCCCTGCTCATGCTCTCTCTTTCTCACAAAAATAAATAAATAAAATCTTTAAAAATAAATAAAAGTTAAACATTCTTAAGTCTTTCTTATCTAAAAAGCAAAACCAAAACAAATCCCTTAGTCTCATTGCATCTCCAGCTCCATCACATTTTCTTCCTTCTTCCTTCTCACAGCCAAACTTATCGAAAGATTTGCCAATACTTTATTAAAACACATTGCTAAATACAATGAGCATGTTCAGATCTCTTGTTGCTGGATCTTTCACTAGCATTTGACATGGCCCATCACTCCCTTCTAGAAATATTTTCCTTCTTGGGCATCTGGACACTACTCTCTTCTAGTTTCCATCCTGTTTCTCTAATCACTCCTTTTCTTTTTAAGGTCTCAAAATGAGACAGAAGAAAGTGTTTTATGAATCTGAGCACTGTATTTAGTGTAGATAATTAATATTTTCTTGTTAATCATATAAAGAGGAATGTATGTGGAACAAAGTTAGAAGGCAAACTTGAAAAGGAAAGTGATGGTTTAATTGAAATAGTATGACACAGGTGTTATCTTTTGTCTTAAATTTTCCTTAGCGTCTAACAGTGTTCTGTACTATATATTTTCATTTAGGTATAATTAACATGCATCAATAGTGTTGTAACAATAAATATAAATCCAGCGTATTTTTTAGGGAAAAAAAATCAATTTATAATACCTGTTCTGAGAATGTAAGTGTTGGAGATAGTATGGTAAAGCTGGTGTGGCCACAGGAAGAAATGAGAACGAGGCTCTTCTTCTTCAAGGAAGAAGTTTATTGTCCTCACAGGTCTTACAGGGGGATAACCATGCGCCATGCAGAGCCACAGAAGAAGCGCCAAGTACTGATGTCACCTGGTGGCAGAAGAGAGTGGGGAGGGGAACGCTCGGATTTAGGACTAGCTAGTTTGAATAATGTCCATGGGCTCTGGGCTATAGGGGTGCTCTCTAGTTGCCTGGTACCTGGCTCTGGGACGATTTCAGGCAGGGGAAACACAGGCTTGGTGGATTCCAGTTAGAGGACCTTGGAGCTATAAACTAGGGATTGGTTGGCTTGCATATGAAAAATGTGCTCCCAGTTGAGCCCTCTGCTGTCTGTCTCTAAGAACCGAGCAGCCCTGCGGGGGAGCAGGCTCTCCCCTACTGAAAGCTTTTTAAGATACCAAAACATTATAAAATATAGAATATTTTTTTAAATGATTAATGCAACATCTTCCAGGGAACTGCATTACTCTTTCAGATATTGACCCAATATTTTCATATCAAATATGAGAAGGAAGGATAATGCTTAGATACAAGGCAGGCAGATATTGCATGATGCAAGCATTGTTACCTCACAGCTGCAGCTGCTGCATGCCTAGATCAAAGACCATGGATAGTATTACTTAGGTTAAATGTCCTCTCTATTTAAAAGAATAGCATTACCCAAAGTAAACGAAGTATACCAGCGAGGCAAAAGCTTTTGCAGGGTGTGGGCATAAACTGCTTCCAGAGGGACCAGCCGGCTTGACAAGTTTTTGTTTATAAACCTCAGGAGAATGCAAAAGGAAGTAATTGCTAGTGGGATGGGAGAAGGAACATCCCTTGGGTTTCACCAGCATTTAGGAGAAAAGGGGGAGAATCGTGCTGAGTTAATATTGTGAAAAAGGGCTGTCATAGTAAGGAGCTCAGGTTTTGGTTTCAAATGGACTTGGATTCAAATCCTGCATTGGCCACTCATTGGCTTCTTTGGAAAGTCAGTTAATGATAATAAATAACCTTTATGAAGCACTAACGATGTGTGGGGCACTGTTGCAAGTGTTTTATATGTATTAGTTAATTTAACCCCCACAACAATTTTATGCAGTAGGTACTATAATTTCCTCCATTTTATGGATGCATAAACTGAGGCACAGAGTGGTTAAGTCAGTTGCACAAGATCAACACATATTTATTAAGCGAAGGAGC